GGGACAATAAAAGCTGTTGATTTGTGGGGCACACCATGGAACCCAAGTTCTCTCAATGGCTGATCAAATTCCAGATCAAGCGCTTTAAATTGAGGCTGCCCCCAAAGATCATTAACTTTGTTTATGAAGTTCTGGAATTCCATGTTTATCTTATTTTTCCTCTCCCTTTCTCGCTGCTCCTCCTCAATCTCATCAGGATCATAGGCAGATCTTTTTCCACCACCAATCGTTTGAACCACATCCATGACTTCAACATAGAATTGGACATCCTTGGTTTTCTTGTTTCCCACCATTATGTGATTGTGCAGATGAAAGTGGAGCAGTGTGATCATTTCCTTCTCTGCTGGCTGGAAGAATGCATGTTTGATGTTGCCATACATAATATCCACTCTCTCATCTGGCCTTGAAGTTCCATAACGAAATCCATTTGTGTGAGCTTCTAAAGTACCAGGAAGTTTTCTCCCTCGGCCACCAAATACAGGACGGATCCACAAATCAGTCAACTTTATAGGCTTAAATTTGGCTCCTGCAAGTTGTAGTTTCTCCTGTGTCACTAAGGTTGCCCTCTCAGCCTTTTCCGACTCCCGAGAGACAACCTGCCTGCGGAGAGTTCTTATCTGTTGGACTATTTCACTAATGTGTCTTGTGTCCTTCGAACGAAAAGAAACTTCTTTAACATATATAGACCCCTGAAACTTTAGTGTGTTTGAGTCATGAGGATTAAAAGGCGTGCCAGGCACATTAAACATTAACCTGATATAGCAAGTACGATTTGTATCCTGTTGACTAGATACACTTTTCACTGTGGCAACATGGAATGGAATCATGCTTCCATGGATAGGTAAGAGGACAGACTCATTCTTCTGATCAACCTGAATCATCAAATCTTTGGGAGAAGGTAGGTCATTAATGTTCCTATACGCAATTAGATCTCCACTGGTTCTTACAGCACCACGATTATCTGCCACCCCAGCACTGCCTCCTGTGAGCCTCCTTAAAGTTTCTTCATTCTTTTGACGTGCCAATTCTGCCTGGTGTTGCCTCCTCAGCTCCTCTTTGGATGCCTCATGGTTAACAGACCTGAGTGTTGCCTTAGATGGGAGTCCTTCAGCACGATCAGGCTTCACCTTAACTTTTGTCTGCACTTCTTCTTCATCTCCATCCTCATTGAATGAGTATGCCACATCTTTTACAGCTTTTGAACTCATAGACGTCACCACCTCTGGGGAAGTTTGTCCAACAATAACTGTATCAGCAAGCAACATTGAAAACTTTCCAGTCTTTGGGTTTTTTGTCTCTGTTTGCAAATTCTGAAACCCAATATTCACATTAAAAACCATTCCAGCTTTCAGCAATCTGTCATTCTTGCCATTGAGAATCAACCCTGACTCACGGAACTCGAGGCCAATACCAGTCCCTGCTGATTTGGTCACACTTGCAATCAATTCAGGTGCCTCCTTTTCAATTATGGAAATTGCTGCTTGGTATGCTTCGCCAGCCTTCTTACCTGGACTCAGAGCACTGATTGCTGCATCATGGGCCTTAAGGAGGACTTCATAAGCCTTGCTTTGCATTGGGTTTGCATCAATTAGAAAAGTGCGAGCAACATTCGAGCAATAGCTATTGTAACGTGACCCAACTGCACATATGATCACACTAGTTGAATCATAGTAAAGGTTTTGATCATTGCTCGAAGCACTTGGTTTCAGATCAAACTCTCCCCCACTCTGAAAAATTGGTGGGTAACAGATATCAACATTTTCTGCTTTCAGCTTCACCTTAATCCTTGCAGGTTCAAGTATGACCTTTTCAGTATCACCCATAAGTGAAGAATGAGTTACCTTCTTTTCTTCATCAATAACCCTTTCGAGTTTTGGGACCACAAAATGCTTCATCACAGATGAAGTCAAATAAGCAGCTTTCTTCACATTCATTATCTCAGCTGCATCCTTGACAGCAAACAGGTCAGAGAACCCACTCGCTATGTCACTAAGTTGAAAATTAGCATTATGTAATTTCTCATTCCACGTCTCTAAAAGATTCCCTTCAGGGGCCTCTCTTGCAAGGTGTCCAACTACAGGGGTATCATGACCATTCTGAGCATGAATGGCGTTGAATATAGCATCCATTGATTCAGTTCCATCATCATTTTTGGCTTTAATATGCATAACAACATCCACACCTACAGCATCCTTAGCAGATTGTTTCACAACTTCAAGTAAGGATGCCTTTTTCTGGCTACACAGAAAATGGATCTGCTTCTTCATGAATACCATAATTGTATCAGGAAACTCATACCCAACCAACCACATGTTAAGAGCTGAAGATTTTAAGTACCTCAAATCCTCTGATGGAGGAGGAGTTCCTATTGCAATAACTTCTGAAGAGCCCCAAAGTTCATTATTGTATTCATCCCAGTGAGAGTACAGCATTTTTAAACGCTTACTGAAGGTATCCACACTTATACTATAAGTGCTAGGTGCTCCAGAAGCTTTCCCATTAGCAGCCTTAGCATTACCATTTCGGTTATCAGCCATAGGAGAAGATATTCACAGGTCTAGCGGCGTAATAATAGTTTTAAGATTGAAGTTTGATGTATCACCGGAGACTACAAAAGAGTAGTATTAATCAGTTCCCTCTGACAAACATAGCATAACAAAAAAGAATGATCGTCCCAAACCTCACTGAAAAGAACATTACACCATTTTTTATTTTTTATTTTTGAAAAAGAACATTACACCATATGATCTCTATTTGTTATCAAACTCCATAAAGCAACAAAAGTCATGAGTTTCATCTTCCAGACAAAAAAGAAAATGACCCATACCAACTTCATCCAAAAGAATAACGCTACATCTAACCTACGAATACCAAGAACATTGTAAAATTTACAACCTCATAGCTCTTCATTCATTGGAAACAAATTTTCAAATTTAAAATCTAAAGTAACAACAAATATAGGAAATGACCATCATATTAAAATTTCAACTTACTCATCTCATTAAAATATCTTATGCCTCATTCTCATAGAACTGAAGAAAAACAATTAGGCATACATTTTTTTATGGTTTCTTTTTGTTCATATTTGATTTTAAATCCAATCTGAATTACAACATGATTTTAACTGACACTTAATAACAACTCACTGCCATAGTAACAGATTTTCCACATTTAAAGCAAACATTATTACTCAAGTTGCAGTGAAAAGTGTCGCCTTTGTCATTAACACTTTATAATAAGAATCTCAAATCAAAATAGCATCAATCCCATAGCACAGCACATTGTTTTTCCAGAAATCAACACTTATCGAAACCAACCTGAACAAAATCCAAACAGGGAAACGGAATATTCCAAGAAACTCAAAACAAAAATTGATAATATTCGCAAGAACTCACACTCGATTGATCCAAGAATATGATCACTCGAATCCTCAATCACTTCCAATGCTTCTTCAACTGTTAAATAAAAACTATTAAAAGAATTTTTTTAAAAAAATATAAAAAATTGCGAACGACGATGAATGAGAATCGAATACCTTACATAATTGAAGTTTCTAGGAAGATCGATAAGGGTTCCCGGATTGTTACGGCGAAATTATGGTTAGAAATGCTAACATCCGATAGATCAACGAGTGGATGAATATCCGATGAAGTGAAGAAATGGGGGCTGACGGAGAGGGAGAACTGGGGGTGAGGGAATAGGGTAGATATTTGATAATAGGCTATCAGTGGGGTCCTCGCTATATTGATTAATGACTCCCTTTGTCCTCCTTGTTGCCCAAAATTACATAACTAGTGTTATACTCAACCTCTTCTTCTATTTGTGTTTTTTTGTTAACGTATATGTTTTTGAATTATTTATCATAATCTAATTGATTTTTTTTTTAGTACAATTTTACTCCTTTAGAGCTTGTTTGGTTCATGGAAAAGAACTTCCAAGAAAAAGGTTTTCCTAGAATTTGAGGAAAACAAAGTTTTATGATGTTTGGTTAATGGAATTTGTTTTTCAATGGAAAACTAATTCTTCAAATATGAGGAAAACAAAATCTGAGCACAAGGCTGGTATTTTGTTTTCCACGGTAGAAGGGAAGAAAAGTTTAGCTAAGTGGACTATTTTACCCTTATGTTTCTTTCTTAATTACATACATATAAATAGCAATCTAGGGTTATTTGTTGCCTTCCTACCGTTTCATTCCCCATTCTTCGCTTTCTTTTCTTCTCACAGCTTTCTTCCTCCTCCAGTTCTCGCCCTTTCTCACATCTTTCTTCCCACAGTCCACAGTTCAAGCACGACACTGCTATCTCGCCTCCGGGTAAGTTGTTTCTTCTCACATTTTAGTTTGTTTTATTCTACTTATTTTTTGTGTAATTTTTGATTGATTTTTGAATATTTTTAGTTCTTCGCTTTTAGTTGCTGTCAGACTAATGCTCCGCATAGATAAATTTTTCAGAGCATATTTGTGTATTTTTTTTTTCGGGGAAAGTGGAGGGATGATACTGAAGATGAATTTCAAAATGTAGAGCCAAGCTTTGTTCCCTGCAAATATTTCACTGGTTTTGCATAGCCTTTTTTTAAGGTTCTCCAACCACATCCTCAACCTTCTCTGCTTTCTTTCTCTTTTTCCCTGCAAATATTTCACTGGTTTCTTTCTCTTTTTCCCTACAAAGATTTCATGGATTTCACTGCCACTTTAGCTTCTTAGGTGTGGCAGAAGATATGATAGGCAGGGACTTCTTCATGTTTGCGGCCAAAAATTCAATTTTGTAGCTATATTATTTAATTTATTTGTATGCTCAAAATAGTATTTTTGTTTCATTCGTGTATTACTGCCTTAACTTTATTTTGCTGCCAAAAAATTGCAGCAATTATTGCTCTTTTTTCTAGCATCTTACTTATTTCTTCTTTTTCACTTTGTGCAAATTGATTCCAAAATATTATCATATCAATTAGAAAAAAAAAAAACAATCCATTTATGTTTCTTCCTACCCATTAATGCAGTCATGGCTCGTTTGGGTATACGTAGAACTGCTGAAAGAAGAAAAAAGATTGTGGCTGCTTTGTCTGTTTTTTTAGAGATGTATACTGCTGTTAGTGCTTTCATACTATTAATGGCATCAGCTGCATCTCTCAATAGTTATAGGCCAAGCACTAGGCGTTATTCACTTGAGAGTTATCCTAAACGAGAGTATGTTCGACGGATTTTGAATAATAATGAGTCATGCATTTCACTACTTAGGATGAATTTGCAAGGTTTTTACAAACTATGTGAAATGTTAGAGAGCTTAGGAGGATTAAAACCAACAAGGAACATAGCTATTGATGAACAAGTAGCAATCTTCTTGCATATTCTTGCTCATCATGTTAAAAATCGAGTCATTCAATACAATTTTAGAAGGTCAGGTGAGAGTATCAGTCGGACGTTTCATAAAGTGTTGAATGCCATAATGCATTTGCAAGGTCATTTGTTTAGAACACCCGAACCCGTTCCAACAAATTGTACCGACAATCGATGGAAGTGGTTTAAGGTACATTATCATCTTAAATATTTTTGAAGTATTATATATGTTGGGGGTTTTTTTTTTTAAAAAAAAAAATAAGGTTCATATTTTTTGTAGAATTGTTTAGGTGCTTTAGATGGGACATTTATCAAGGTTAATGTGTCAAGTTCTGTTAAGATTAGATATCGAACTCGTAAGGGAGACATTGCAACAAATGTTTTAGGTGTGTGCACTCCTGATATGCAATTTGTATATGTTCTAAGTGGTTGGGAAGGATCAGTGGCGGATAGTCGAGTTCTTCGTGATGCAATTAGTAGGACACATGCATTGAAAGTGCCACATGGTAAGCTTTGTATAGGATTAAGTTTATTAAATAGATATTGTCAACTAATTATGTCACTTATGTAGTATATATTTTTTATATAGGTTGCTATTACCTAGTTGATGCTGGTTATACAAATTGTGAGGGCTTTCTAGCACCTTTTAGGGGCCAAAGGTATCATTTGAATGAATGGCGTCAAGGTTATCAACCTACAAACCCGCAAGAATTTTTTAATATGAAACATGCAGTTGCCCGTAATGTGATTGAGAGGTGTTTTGGGTTATTAAAAATTAGATGGGGCATTCTTAGGAGCCCATCATATTACCCTATAAAGACACACAATCGCATTATTATAGCATGTTGTTTGCTCCATAATTTTATTAGACAAGTGATGCAATTTGATCCTATGGAAAGTGAACTTGATGAGTTTGATCCAGCTGAAGGTGAAATGAATTTAATAAATACAGTTGATCCATCTGATGCTTGGACAAATTGACGAATGAAATTAGCAAATCAAATGTTCAACCATTGGCAAGCTTCTAGATAGTTTTAGTTGTATGTAGAACTCTATGTTTGTATTGAACTACTCTATGACATTTGCTTATGCAAGTATTTTAAATTGTTATGTGTGTTTAAATTGGTATATTTGTTTAAAGCCATGACATTTATATTAACTTTCAAGTTTAGCACATAATTATGGCAACTGCTGACACGGGAAGCTCAAAAGTAAAGAACAGGAGGTGGACTCATGAAGATGATGCTATGCTAGTTTCTTGCATGGTTGATTTGCATAATATGGGAACAAAAAAGTCTGATACTGGATTTAAAGCTGGCTATTTGGTTGAGTTAGAGAAAATGCTTGCAACTAAATTACCTAACTCAAATATAAAAGCTAAACCACACATTGAGTCCAGAGTCAAAACTTTGAAGAAAGAATGTAGCATTGTCCATGATCTGTTCACAAATAATAATAGTGGATTTGGATGGGATGATGAAAGGAAGATGGTTACTGCTGAAGATGATGTTTGAGATGTTTATTTAAGTGTATGTCCACATTTGCTATATTCTTCATTTGTTTTTCCAGTTTATACTTTTAATTCACTGCTTTTACTGATTTTTTTTTATTAACTTTTTTTTTGTAGAGCCATAAAGAAGCTGCCCAATATAGAAGGAAAAGCTTTCCTTTTTATAATGAGTTCACTGATATTTATGGAAAAGATCGTGCTACGGGAAAAGATTCACAAACTGGTGCAAATATAGTTTATGAAATGGGTAGTGCTGAACCTTTTGAAGGCATTGGTGGAACAATGGAAGGTAGTGAAGATGATAATCCAGTTGATTTGCAAGACAATGATATCTCCTTTATCCCGACTCAAACATCATCTGCTACAAAGAGGAAGAGGAAAAACATTGACACATCTGACCCTATTACTGCAAATTCTTTGCTTACTGCTGCCATAATGTTGGGTGAGAAGTTAGAATTTGTAGGAGACAAAATAAGTAAAACCTTTGGGACCGAATTGACTCTTCAACAAAAGATTGAAGAATTAGAGGATAAGTTGAGTGAGATTGAGGGGCTGCCATATGATGACAAGTTTATGACTATGATCAAGCTTCCCGAATATCCAAATCAAATGCTTATGTTTTTTAGCCTTGCAGCAGACAAAAGGCTTGAATGGGTGAAAAGGTTCCTTGCTGCATATTGAACATATTTGTGTGGCTAGATGAAATGTATTGTTGTTTTTGGTGTCAAGTTAGAAAGTATCCTGTTATAAGTATGAAGTTAGCTATGTAAAAATATGATGCTAGCTTTTTTTTTTTTTTTTTTTTTTTGGGGGGGGAGGGGGGGGGGGGGGGTGAAACTAGAAAGGATGAACTTGTTAACTTGAATATCTTATGTATTTTGTAATATTTTGAAACTAGTTTGCTGTAATATTGGTACTTGCAATTTGCAGATAATATTATCTTTTGTTAAGGTATTTGCAGTTTGCAGCTAACATCAGTATCATGCATGTGTATCATAACGATGCTTTGTTTGTTTGCTTGTTTTAATTTTTTTTCTTTCTTTTTTTCAGTTTGCAGCTTTAGACAAATTGTAATGAATTAAAAACCACATGTACACACACACACACACACACACACACACACACACACACACACACACACAAAGGAGTTGGGTGTTAGTGCATGTATTCTAGCAGCAACAATTTCCTCAAATCTATTCCTCATGTTGATGGCTTGAAATATTATATATATATATATATATATATATATGTGTGTGTGTGTGTGTGTGTGTGTGTGTGTGTGTGTGTGTGATATCCAATAATGTGTATAGATGGAATTATTTTGAATTTGATGATTCATACATTTCAGTCATGTAAAACATCTATTCTAATGAACCATGGTTTTACTTTGAAAAAAAAAAATTGTGATGAATTATAATTTTGTAGTTTGCAGCTTTAGAAAAATTGTGATGAATTTGATAAGTTATAATATTTTAATTTATAAATTATGAACTTGTTAACTTGAATATCTTATGTATTTTGTAATATTTTGAAACTAGTTTGCTGTAATATTGGTACTTGCAATTTGCAGATAATATTATCTTTTGTTAAGGTATTTGCAGTTTGCAGCTAACATCAGTATCATGCATGTGTATCATAACGATGCTTTGTTTGTTTGCTTGTTTTAATTTTTTTTCTTTCTTTTTTTTCAGTTTGCAGCTTTAGACAAATTGTAATGAATTAAAAACCACATGTACACACACACACACACACACACACACACACACACACACACAAAGGAGTTGGGTGTTAGTGCAGGTATTCTAGCAACAACAATTTCCTCAAATCTATTCCTCATGTTGATGACTTGAAATATTATATATATATATATATATATATATATATATATATATATATATATATATATATATATGTGTGTGTGTGTGTGTGTGTGTGTGTGTGTGTGTGTGTGTGTGTGTGTGTGTGTGTGTGTGTGTGTGTGTGTGTGTGTGTGTGTGTGTGTGTGTGTGATATCCAATAATGTGTATAGATGGAATTATTTTGAATTTGATGATTCATACATTTCAGTCATGTAAAACATCTATTCTAATGAACCATGGTTTTACTTTGAAAAAAAAAAAATTGTGATGAATTATAATTTTGTAGTTTGCAGCTTTAGAAAAATTGTGATGAATTTGATAAGTTATAATATTTTAATTTATAAATTATTATCTTTTATAATAATAATAATAATAATAATAATAATAATAATAATTATTATTATTATTATTATTATTATTATTATTATTATTATTATTATTATTATTGTATAGGGGCATTTAAGTCTTTATACACATTATTTCTTACAATCACAAATTCAACCAAACAATGGAATCAATATTCCCAGTAACTCATTTTCCACCAACCAAACACTGGAATCCATTTTCCCAGTAACTACTTTTCCATGGGATTTCAATTCCATTTCCTTTCAAATATTTTCCGCGAACCAAACGAGCCCTTAGCATTGAAATGAAATAAGTATTGAGACAAAAATATTTACACACTGTGTTTGGTTTATTGGGCTAGACACAAAGAATGAAAATGAAAGTTATAAACATTGTTTGGTTGAAGATTTTTTAAAACACGGATTGAAGAGTATATTGGAAATGACTAAAGAATAGAGACATGGGGTCCGAAAGCCGATAGTCCAGAGCCGAAGAAGATGACCCAGGCGACTCAAGAAGAATTCACGACTTAGGGTTCAAGAAGGTGACCCAAGCCCAAGAAAGGCGATCCAAACCAAGGTGGTCTAGTCTAGACTAGAGGTGTCAAACGGGCAGGCTTAGTCCGACCGGCCACTAACCCATTTAGTTTTTAGACTAGGTCAACTCAGTTCATTTAAAGTTCGGCCCGAGCTTAGTCCAGTCCAAAAATAAAAATTAAAGTCTGACCAGATCTATAGCTCTAAAAAAAAAAATTTAAAAGAAAATAATATTAAAAATTATATATCGACTAATTTAAGTCATGTATTCCTTCTAAATTAGTTTTACAAGTTCACATATTTATTTTCAACTATTTACTTAAGAAATATTACATAAAAATAAAGAAATCAATAATTAATTATGTAGTACAATTAATAAGAATAAGTTTACAAATTGAAACTACTAACTACTAATCTACTACTATCGCTGTCCCATTTCATCTGTCATACTTACTATTCATTGGTCAAACCAACTATTTTTCTTTGCTTATTTATATTAACATTTTCTTATGATTTTAAAATTTGAATTTTTGTTTTTAATAGTACTTTTAATGTAGTTTATAAATATATAAATTTTACATACTAATTTTAAACTTAATATTATGAAAAATAAAATTGTAAATAACTTCAGTCAAGTCTTGTTAATCGAACCCGACACATAAAATGGGACGGAAGAAGTATGTAGTAAAGCTGTAAAGGTAATTTTTTCAATTTGAAACAAATCAAATTTACAACTTTAAAATATTTTAAGGTAGTAATTACTAATTAGTATGCTAGTTAGGCAATTAAATAGCTAACTAGTAAATACAACAATATGTAAGAATTTAATAGGCATAAAACCAACAGTTTCTAATGTGATAATCTCATGAGTCATTACTCTATTAGAGTATATATGTAGATTATATTTTTAAAAAGATGTACGGGCCAGATCGGGGGCGGCCCGGTCATTGGCCAAAAATTAAAGTCCGACCCTATGCATAGTATAAAACGGGCTAGCCCTAGTCCGCCCATTGTAGCAAATGGATCAAACCGGACCAATCCAAACGAGTCGGGCTTGGACTAGACTTCAAATTAACCCATCTAATTGACACCTCTAGTCTAGACCAAGGAAAGCGATCATGATCAAGCTGGTCTGGACCAAGCGAGGCGACCCAGACCAAGGTGGTCCAGACCAAGGTAATTAGCCGCCTCCTCACTCATCTCTTTTCACTTCATCGCCACTCTTAAGATCAATTGTCTTGATTTTTTTTTTTTGTATTTTTAAAACATTTAATCCGATTACAAGGTAATACATAACCAAACATCAATATTGGTATTCATTTCAATTCTTCCCTTACTACCAAACACACAAAATAATTCACCAAAACTCATTCCAATTACCAAATATATATTTGATTCTCATTCCGATTCTGATTCCCATATTTGAACCAAATACACCTTTATTGTACTAAAATGATATACAGAGTATATACTAGTATATTATCTGTGTATAATGTAATACACGAAATATATGCTAAGGTGTCTTCCCGCACTATGAACTATATCCGATTGTTCATGTCACACATGCATTGACCTTTCATAAGGTATATTTAGATCCACTTACCATTTTTTTTTCATCTAGCATTTTTTACAGGTTTTCCGATTACTAGGATGATATGGCACCTGTAATGTACTGATGTGGAACTTCTTTCATGTTTTTTTTTTGTGTAAACCACACATTGTGGTCCGGGT